AAACAAGCCAATTCACTTCGTGAACTCGGCAACCAGGTTACCGTTTTTTTTCTACCTCTGTTTTTTTTTTTTGGCGGTAGCCATAATGGTGGTCGAGTAGATGATGTTGTGCGGGGTGGAGAAGCCTCACTCCGCGCAAGGGGGATGATCGCACCACGTTGTGTTAAAATGGTCAAGCACCCTCGAGGCAGTTACACNTCCGTCCCGGCTTTGTAGGGATGCAAGGTCAATGGTCTATCGACTACGGCATGCACGACTATGAGTACACCCCCCCTCCTCCCCGTCGTCATTCTCCTTTACTCTACCGCACCATAGGTGACATGACGTGAGATATCACACCCCCTGAACCGATTTTTCGAAGCTCGATTACTTTTCCAGAGCAGAGGAGAGTGGCGGTGCCGAATATGGAGGGGTTGGAACCATGTCGTCGAGAGGTTTCCGAAATGGTATCGTTTGATCTATACATCCTCTTCGTCGTGGAGTAGTCGAGCTCTCGAAATCGGTCCGGGGGATGTGATATCTTACGACATGTTCCCTGTGGTCATGCCGGTCCGTGAAAGAGTCCATGAATCACGACGCGTAGTACTCGCTCCCGTCCCGAGCATCTCAGCCCCTTATCAAACTCGCTTTCACAAGTTTGGGGGGGTTTGACTCAAATTGCTACTCCGATTTGGCCATCGCAATGTTGTGACTACGACGAATTTTCCCGCTATCGTTTACCTGTTTGTAGCCCCAAAACCGAAGGCACGCCACAGGCTTCGCGAACTCGTTTGCCACCTCTTTTCTTCTCGCGTGATAGACCCCCAACGCGCGCGCTCTTTCGTGCGGCACCCATCCGCTACCCTGAACGCACGGTGCTGAACACGCGGCACTAGTGGACGGAGCAACTCCAATAGTCGAGAGAAAATGTATCCGATAGAAACGGTTCCCACCGGCTTTTCAATAGCTGACCCCATTGTTTCGATGCCGCTGGTATTGACGCTTGCAGAGGCGGGGCGACGTTCGAGAGCCTTAACCCAGCGACGGAAGAATCGATCCGCTCTTGTGCCAACGCGCAGGCGGAGGACGTGGACAAGGCCGTTGCGGCCGCTCGCGCATGGTGCGGAAAGAGTCAGTTGTCAAGTCATGTCCATGGTGATACAGGAGTCGGGTTTGGCCGTCGTACGGTAGGGTCCGAAGGCATAACCAGCTGCCGGCACGCTTGTAACAGGCAGCTCCACTTGCGTTTCACCGGAAAGAGGTGCTTCCTGATTAATCTTGACCCCGCCCTCTTTCGCACGCGCTATCTATCTATCTCTCGTTTGTCGTTTTCACCTATAACTTGGTGATGCATCCAAGTTTCGAAGGTCCAGACTGGGGGTTGAAGAGCACCGGGGCGCAGCGAGCCGCCTGCCTGCGGGCCATGGGCAAAGCCATCGAGGACGACAAAGATGTAAAATGTTTTATATAACATGTTTTATAGCCCACGTGACCACAGAACCATACCACAATGGTATCCTTGCGCGATGGGGAAGCTGTTAGCAAAGTTGGACCATATAAAGGCGGCGCCCTGCCGTATGGCCGAGCAGTTGTACGTCGGTGGGGAGTTCAGCATGTGTTGGATCAAGCCGCAACGGCACCAAAGTAAGTGCATGTAGCAGGTTGAGAGATCTCGAGGGCGAACATGGCGTTGTGCCTGGCGACATCGATTGAGGTACTCAACAAGGGCGTTACGCTGTCGCAAAAAACACAACGTAAAACAACTGAAATGCTTGATCCCACTGGAAACACAGGCATTCGCCCGGCTCGAGTCGGAGGACTGCGGCAAGCCCATCAAGGAATCTGTCGACGACATGGACCAAGCCGTAGAGGCCTTGAGGTGCGGTGGGTGGTCCCTGTCGACCGTTGCTGCGTGGTGGCGGAACACACGGTAAATCAGCAGTGTGTGCATACAACTCGAAAGCCCTGTAGGGTCATGAGGTGAAGAAAGCACGATGCCGCCCGTTCGCCCCTCCTTCGCCAGCTTCTGAAGCAGGCATCCTTGTTCCACAGCTAGCACGGGCGTGAAAGGAAAGCGGAAGCGATGCTCGCGTCTCGAGAGGAACGCTCCACGATCGAGAAACTTTGACGAGGGGGGCGGGGGGGGGGGCGTACTCTTA